TTGAATGTGTACTTGATGTGAGTTAATCTTAAAAAGCACCCAGGTTATAGAATTATATAATAAATATATAGATTAAATGATTTGCATTAATACCTTAGTGTAATGTAAGAGAATACACTAATGAATGTATGTCTTTAAAATTATATGTACATTTTTAACATGTGCGTTATTATTTTATATAAACTAGAGATTCGATAAGGGATGGATCACTATCAACCCAAACTCAGTGTTTTGTTTTTTTTTTACTTCTAAGTCAATTAGAAGTAATTAGTTGCTACTGGAGACGGCGAGAGCGAGCAAGTTCTTTTTACCTCGTTTTGTTCTATTGCTTAGTTTATTATTTGCTGCTAGGAAGTATTATTTTGATTCTTTGATCATTTCTATTTTCTACTTTTACTTAGCTTGGTTTCGTTGTTGTTATTGCTCGTAATTCCACTTAAGTGCTGTACTGTCCCGCATTAGTTACTCATAGGCTTTTGCTGTGCTAAAGTGTGTTTAAGCTGTATTCACTCAAGGGTTGTAAAGCGCTATATTTATTTAGTAAGTCTTGTGTTCAGCCTCTTTGTGTGAAGACTGAAAGACATGCGACTCTACCTGTGACATCAGTGACATCTTTCATAAGGAAAATGTATGAGGCCAAGTGACTAAAAAAAATCATGTTTATTATTTTATTAGTTCAGAACTACTTGTTAACTCAAAAATATTAAATATAAATAAATTAATACTTATAACTAATTAAATAGTAAATGTATTGAGTCGAGTTACCATAGACAAAAGATTTTTCTAGTCGACTAATCGCACATTTATATTAAACATTTTTATTTTAAACTTAACCTTTTATAATTCCAAGACAGAAATAGCGGTGGAACGGTACACAGAAGTCACGGTTCGGTTCAGACATCACGGTTCGGTACGATTTCGGTAAAATGGAGAGAAAAGCAAAACAGAAATATAGAAGGCATTTTTTATAAATGTCTTAATCCTTGTATTTTATAAATAAGTTTTATTAATAAAGGCATAGAATCAGTTTATTTATAGTGCACTGATAATAGTTTTATATAATTAGTTTATTAATTAAACCATAAAGACTTTGAGATATGTTTGGTAATTGTACCTGAATGAATTTTAAATTAATTTGCTATATTTCAGATCAATATATTTGTTTTCCTTAATTTTAATTAACCCTAACTTTATTCTCATCAGAATTATAAATGATTGATTTCCATATAAAATAATACTACCAACAGATTTAATTTTCTTTTTTAATCAATGTGTAACTGAAAAATAAACAGATTAGTGCCTTGTTATGAGGACAAGAAATGAAAACTAATACCAGTGATATGATGAAAACCAAACCAGTGATATGATGCGATCGAAGTGTTTACATGTTCTCTCGATCGGATTACAAAAGGAGTAAACCACCTCATTCAATACGATCGAAATTACACTCCAATCAAGCTTAATCGCATCGATTTAGGTGTTTACATGAAGGTTTTTTAGTCCGATTGAGCCGTCAATCCAATTATAAGGGTCCATGTAAACGCAGCTAATTTGAGCAGGAAAACACACTGGATCATCTTTGGAGCTGTGTCACTATGAGAAGACAAAGATGCACACTGGTGTCTTTTGCACCTTATTGTGATGACGCATATAAAACCCACTTAAAATATGTTGGTAGAAAACGGGGGCAAAGATTATGTTGTCCCCACTGTAATCTGTGCATTTAAAAAAGAAAAAACCGTCTCAGGTTACGACTGTAACCTATGTTCCCTGAGAACAGGGAACAAGACAATACGTCGAATGACGCAATGGGGAATGCCTCAGGCATGACAGGTGTCTGAAATCAAATATCAACTCACAGTAATCAGGTTGACCGGCGAAAGCCCGTGCATCATCAGCTTGAATGATGAGCGTGTCAATCGGGATGTATAACAAGAGCGCCTTGAAACCGTGACAACATCCTATCGTCTGAAGGGACTGTTGCAGGCAGGCCCTGACGTATTGTCTCGTTCCCTGTTCTCAGGGATCGTAGGTTACAGTCGTAACCTGAGACGTTCCCTTTCGAAGGTAGGGAGTCGAATGTCGTCGAAATACGTCGAATGACGTAATGGGGAACGAAATACCCACTCCGCCATGCTGAGGGGAGTGCATGCCGAAAAGACAGTGACAACTGTCAGAACCAGTAATTCCAAGGAACACTGAAACCACTCACCCTACGGCACATCGGGCTGTCAGTGACATCACTCCCTACCGGTCATAGCCCAAGCTAATGAACCAAGAAAAAACAGAACGTAATAACGTGGGTAAATCTGGGCCAGCTCAAAGGCTTTAGGATCACAACTTCCAAATAGAAGGGGTCCCTTCTAGGGAGTGTGGCTAGGGGGCCAAAGGGACCCCCAGCCAGTCACTATTCAGGAGAACACTCCTCCTAAAATGCCCCCAGGCTGGCCTGGTGATCTCTACTAAGACACACAGTCTGGCCATAGCCTGTCCGTCCAAGACAGAGCCTCTGGAAATTGCCTAGAAAAGGCATCCAAAAACTGAAGGCCCGCAAATCTGTTAGAAACCATTGAGTTTCGGATCACAGAGACGGGATCCTCCGGAGAGTGTGTCTCAACCTCAAAACAACGGGAATCGTACACTCACTCCACGAGTTTCCACCCAATGCTCGCTTCTGAGCACTGAGGAAGTAAGAGAGGGATCAAAATCAGGAAGGTCAATGAGACCTAAGACCTGATGACCCCCTGTGTGGGGAGCTCTCCGATACATGAGGGCTCATGTCAGGAAGGCCGTACATTGTGCGGCCTGAAACCCAACGACCACAGCATGTGGAAGCTTATCCTTCAGGAAAGCCAGAGGCTAGAAACCTGATAGACCCACAATGTGGGGCTACCTTTGAAAAAGATCTAATGAGACCTAAAACCACCAGTTGTGGGAGATAGCTTGAACAAGGGAAGTGCCTGTCGTAATGTATTGCAACAAAGACACATCTAGAGTGGGACCCAAAGTGAAGAACCGGAGTCTGAACCACATAAGAAGGGACTGAAGTCTACCCTCACCATAAGAAATGGATTTTATAAAGTACACATGACATCTCGTCGTGTGACTTACCACAATAACAGGTGAAGTATGGGTTCGTGTACTTCACTCTGAATTCAGGAAGGCCTGTTGAGGCCTGTAACCTGCCGACCACAGTGTGTGGGAGCTCATAACCTGGCGACCACAGTATGTGGGAGCTCATAACCAGGAAGGCCTGGTGAGGCCTGTAACCTGGCGACCACAGTATGTGGGAGCTCATAACCAGGAAGGCCTGGTGAGGCCTGTAACCTGGCGACCACAGTATGTGGGAGCTCATAACCAGGAAGGCCTGGTGAGGCCTGTAACCTGGCGACCACAGTATGTGGGAGCTCATGACCAGGAAGGCCTGTAACCTGGCGACCACAGTATGATGCAGATAGAGACGTGAGGCAGGAGAAGAACAAAATGTGTGTTTCGCAATTGTGTGACTCTTGGAGGTCCATCCTATATGTTTCAGTTTTTGAGTCAGACGTTTCTTTCTATAACCGATTGGAAAGAATCATGGTTGTTTATAATGCAAAAAACAACACATGGCATTGCCCTTGTACTCGACCTAGACGCTCCTGTATACACAAGGCTGTGTGCAAATGGTACCTTTTCCAAAAAATGAGGACCTAAATTGATATTGCTATATACTTTATTGTCCCCGAAGGGAAATTTGTTATGGACACTGTCCATTCCGTAGCTTTACAAGACAGCAAAAAAAGACAATTCACAGCAAAAAAGAAAACAAACAGATATTGCACACTCTCTATATTGCACACTCTCTATATGGCCCTACATATTACATACTCCATAGAACACATACAAATTACAGTTAACATATTGCACTCTCCCTTAGGCTCATTTACAAAAAATACGTAGTTGGCATACTACGCACCCTATAGTACTGTATTGCACAATCCATCTGGCCTGCAGAATATACAATCAACACATTGCGCATATTGTAGAATACACAATTAATACTGTATATTGCACCTCCTCTATGGCCTACAAATAGTCCAAATGACCTATAACACACAACTCAACAACCAACATATTGCACACACCCTCAAAACACTACATGTTCAAGTTAATAAGCTTAATGGACATAGGTACAAAAGAGTTTTTATAACGATTTAACCTACATTTAGGAACTCTGAATCTTCTGCCAGAGGGTAAGAGCTGAAATTCTGGGTGGAGGATGTGGGTCGGGTCAGAAACTATTTTTTGTGCCTGTCTGATGACCGACTGCTCATAGATTTTCTGGGGGGGCAGATAGTTTTTGACCCCCATAATCTTCATAGCTGTTTTTATTTGGCGAGCGATCTGTGATTTTGATTGTACTGTCAGGTTCCCATACCAGCTCGTAATACCGTACTTAAAAATGCTCTCTAGTATTGCGTGACAACATACATTTTTGTTCTACTCCATACAATCTCAGTCTCCGTAAAAAATGCAGAAAATGGTATATCTTTACAAAGAAAACAATACCTTTTTCCTTTTAGATGAAAAGGAATTCCCAAAGTTTTGGTTTCAGATTAAATGCACTGTTCATCGTGTTCAGAACATGTACCCCTAAGTAGTCCTATGCTCATCTCTAATAAAGCTAAAATTGTAAAACAGTTTAATTATTTTTCATAACAGGGATTTGTTGTCATTTTGTGTTGAGTAATAGACTGGATTAGGTATCACATTTGTAACAGTAACTATACACATCGCTTATGTTTAAATGTTTTACAGATATGTCTACATGGTCACGTCGTGTGGAAGTGATCTCTGCACAAGGAATGCATGCCGGCGACTTCCTACTTAGCACCAACATATTGTTGTCTGGCAACAATTACGCCAAGATTGCTTTGCTATTGAAGTTCATGAACATGAGAATAGTCAACCAGACAACCTTCTTCTGGATCCAGGATCACTTCTGCATCGACCCAATAAAAGAATTTTGGGACAAAAAAAGGAAAGAAATCATAGTGTAAAGCAAAGTGTTGTAACGGACAGAATCTGTTACTGTTAATTTACTGTTTTTGGAGCACTAGTGTGATGTTTTGGGTCATGTGTAGTTTCATCAAGAGCCACTTGAGGGTGCTATTGCCAGATGGTAACCTATATAAACACACCTACCATAGAGGAAGAGAGTTCGTTTGGTAGAGGGAAATCCATTGTTTGGTTAACCTCATGCTACCTACTGAATTTTGTTGATGGTCCTTTGTTGAGAACCTTGAGTTTCTGCTCAACTGTAAGTATGGATGATGTGATGTATGGATAATGTTGTACTTATTTCATTGATGTTAAGATGTGCTTTCTTTTTAGAAAGGACTTTTTGTTCACATGTTCTGTTATGAACATTGAGCAGAGGAATGGACAGTAAAGCCAAGTGGAAACTCCATTGGCAATGAGACTACACCACATGGACAGTATCGGGGTACAGGGAACAAACATTGCACTGGCTACTGTGATGTAGGATGTGACTTTTTCTCACATTGGTGGATAGTTGGATCACAATCATTGCATCGCACTCAAAATTGACCTTGTGGAGTATATGTTCATCGTCATCATCATCAGCATCATCAATGTAACCTCTCAAAGGACTGGACATATCAGAGTTAAGTTTACTTCATTGAATGGCTTCATTGTTAAAGAGATGGAGATCTTGAGAGTGCTTTGTTATCTGTTTATTGAGAGTTTGGCACATGGATTTAGCACAGTGGTGTAAATAAAAGAGGTTTAATGTTATTTTGTTTGTGAGGATATTTCTTAATCAGTACAGGTTCAAAGATTTCTGTTGAACCCCTCAGAGTAACAGCTTTAAAAGAAATGAGGTGTTACAGTGTGGTGGCCCTGGGTAAGTCTCGTTTTGAAATAACTCTGGCCTTGACTGCGCATTTAATCTCATGGGCCAATATAACTGCACTTCTATTCTCTCAGGAGTTGATAAGTTAAAATTCATGTCAAATTAATCATTGAAGTGGAGAAGTACAGGGAGTTGCATGACCCCCAGCACACGTACTACAAGGACAAAAGCAAAAAGGAAAAACGTTGGGAGGCTGTAGAAGCAGCAATCGGATCAACGGATCAAGTATAGCCTATCGTTTGAATCAAAAAGGTGTCCCACAAGTAATTTGCAAAAATAATTGTCCATAGATTGTGAGATATTTCCTCTATAGATTAAATAATATCCTACATCTTCAACACTGTGACCAAATTAAATCCGGCTACAGGGGCCACCAGACAGAGTCCCATTAACCCCACCATCCCCAATTACCTGTTCCAAGAAAAATTGTCCTCAGCAGCCATTTGCTCTCCCTCCTCCAGCTTCATTTCCAAGGCGCATTCCACCACCATTCTGGCCCTAGACAGTCTGTAGTTGAATATCTTTTGACACCGACCAAGGCGTTGCCCAGGGAATGGCCCCATCAAGTACCTCTTCAAAGGGAAGGCAGCATCTCCCACCATGGTGTATGGTACTGGCCCTTTTTGGACGGTTCCTGGTAGAGGACAGTCAGCAGGAACATTCCCAAATCCGATCCACTGTACACACCTCCAACACTTGCCTGTCCATAGTCCCCCACTTAGATGTTGATGAAATGGTAGTTTTCGTCTACCAGTGCTAATAAAACGATGGAAAATGTTTTTTTTTTTTATAATTGAAGTACTGACTTATGGTTTTTGAAGGTGCTTTGATGTTTACATTTGTCCCGTTAATGGCGCCAGGGCAGTTTGGAAAATTCCACTTAATCCAGAATGCAGAGGTGATGTCTCTCCACATCTGCTCCATGGGCCTGGGAAACTGGGTGTCCATCATCCGCCTCGCTATTGCCCGGCAGGTCATGTGTATGTGGTGGACACAGTTCTTTTCCCTAACCTGTACTGGAAAGCCAGGCTGGAAAATGTTTCCCCTGTACCAAAGCATCTGTGGAAATAAAGAAAATGTAACTGAATTTTTAATTATATCTGTGGGATAAAAGCAGGAAAAAAATGTGAGCCTGACGCCAGGAGGAAAAGTGTGTAATTTAGCCTATGTAAAAGTAGATGATTCAAGAACAACTGTAAACTGTACTTAGTACTTAACAAGAAATATAACTGTAAAAATATAACATAAATACAGATAATATTGAAATGAGTCATTTCATTGTTTACTATTAATTCATGCATGTTACTGTCACAGTGGAAGAACGCAAAAGGAGATGGAAACAATTACGGGACACGTTTGAGAAGAACAAAAACAAAACTGCTTTGAGTGGGTCCGCTGGGGGCAGTGCAAGGGACTGGAAATATAGCACTATCATGTCCTTTTTGATACCTTATATGCAACCCCGAAGGTTAGTATTTGTTTTTCTAAATGGAGGTATTTATTTTTGATAAATATATTTGATCTTGTGAATTTTCATACTCATTGTTGCAAATTAAAAATTGTTATATTTTGGTTGTAGCCGATATATCATTCATAACAAAAGGTTTTTCTCTTTTTTTAAAGCTCGTAAAGTACTCTATAGCCTAGTGATCTGAGCGAAGAGCGAAGGGGGGGTCAAAGGGGTGGCAAGAGGTCTTGGCAGGGTGGCAAGGTAGACGGTACATGGGAATCACTATATGTGAATTGCTTTAGCAAAACAAACACAAAAAACACAGTAGTTATAGTTTAATCATGAACATACACACTACTTTAACACAACATGAATAGGCCCAGTGCAGTGTTCAAACACAACAAAACTGCATTTTTAAAAAAGTAAAAGTATAACAAGAAAAATTTAAATATAAAAAGAAAAGTACAAGATGCAGTGGACTACAAGTAAAGAACAGTGGGCAATACTATAGTTATTATTATAATTAAAAACTTATAATTATAGTCCACAAATGAAATGACCCATTTTTTTAAGTAAAGCTTAAGGCGACGGTTGTTGTAAACAAAACGTTTCCCGAACAAATCTAAATCTAGTGCTTTTGCACGCTGTTTTTCGATACTGAGAACAGCCAGATTTCTCAGACGGTTATCTGCCATGGTTGAGCGCAGCTGAGTTTTTACAAGCTTTAAAGTTGAAAAGCTTCGCTCACACCCAGCAGTACTCACTGGCAAAACAATAGCGATCTTGCACAGGCGAAAAAGCTCAAAGAAAGCCTCTTTAAAAGGCACCAAGAACGTCATAAACTCAGTCAAACTCAGTCATTGCTTTTTTGTGTTAAATTTTAGCTGTTTTATTGTTTATTGTGCATTGATTTCAAAGTTATATTTGCACTAACGTTGCACTAACTAAACAGTTATAAAGAGATTTTGTTTTTATTTATTTGTACACATTTACCAAGCTAGTGAAGCTGTTGTTTTATTCAGCTGCTTTTATTTTGGATGCTTAATTCCTATTTGCAGTGCAAATAGCATCGATTAAGCAACCTATGCAAATTTTGCACTTTAATTTTGAATGTCAAGTTTAAGCTACTGAACTTATTTTATTTTGCACTTGTTGCCCTGGTGCAATAAATAAATCACTAAACTTGTGAATACATTGTTTGTCATTTTGTTTTACAAGGCTAAAAAATGTTGAAGTCGAGCCTGATATCTTGCAAAATAATGCCTAGTAATTCAGTAATAATTCATAAAGTAATTAAGCACTTTTTTAACATTTTACCTTTGTATCGGATCGGTACTCAGTATCGGCCGATACTGAATTGCAGTTATCGGAATCGGTATCGGAAAGAAAAAAGGTGGATCGGAGCATCCCTAACGTCGTTTCCACGTTGATTCAATGTCAGTTTGCTGTCTGGGTGGTGTTTTAACCCCTTCGACGTTATAGATTCCCACTTTTAAAAACGAGACGTTTTCAGAGGCTGGTGTCAATAAAAGCTTTTATTGGACTAACAAGGACGTTTTCAGTTCTGAAACTTACAGGATATTCTTATAAGATGATGACCTCTTAGATGTCAAAAGCTCAAGGAAAATTTGATTTCATCACCCCTTTAAACTCTCAACATCTAGCCTGGCTTAGGCCCCGTCCCTTTGCTACGTTTGCACATCCCGTCCACACAAAAACTGGAAAAACGAAGACCTAAAACGGAGAAGTTTAGAAACGCTGCAGCTGCGTTTTGCATCTCCGGAGGGCGTTTTAGTGTGGACGAGACAAAACGGAGGAGTTTACAAACGATGACGCAGAGGCTCACGCTCGGCTCTATGATTGGGTGTCATCAGTCATGATGTGTCCTTCCCTGATTCGCCAACCACTGTTTACACCAGCGCGCGCATGCCCAGTGTTGGTGAATGGTCACGTGATCCGCGTTTGGATGGAGATCAATTCTAATACGCAGATAAAACGCTGGTGTGGACGGAGATCGTATTCGTTTTAATTCTACGTTTTTAAACGAAAACGCAGTAGTGTGGACGGGGCCTTAGTTAGAAGCCCACTCACCACTTCAAGGTGCAGGCTCAGAGTGGGTAGACAGGACAAGACAAATGTAACAAACAGACGCCACAAACAGACAACAATGAAACATCTGAACATTTGAGTGTAACATTTGAACGAACTGTTTAATTACAAAAAATAACAGTTTAACCGTAAAACTTCATATAGCTTGATGATAGCATTTGAGTAACAGCGAACAAAACTATGTCTCTGAAAAAAAAAGACAAAAACTAAAGTAAAGGCAGGTTCTCACAGCAAATGCTTATGCCCAGCTGTTTCGGTTTCAGTGCAGATCTCGTTGAAATCACACAAATCACACAAAAATGTGGAATTTTCTAGTCTTTTTCTGCTTGTGTTGTGTATTTTGGAAATATGTGATTTAAGTGAACTTGGGTTTTTGAAGGTGCAGACACAATTGTCATAAAAACAGGGCCAATTTGGTCCTCCTCCATGTCGTAGTCTAAAGTGTTTCAAAAGGACATCTTGAGCAGAGTGGGAAAATTTGCAAATTTTGCATTGCATGTGCTGACGACTGCCAAAGTCTGAAATGCAAACACAAGCCCACTGCTAGAGCAGAATTGTATGTGTGTAACCTCAAAACCCTAAATTAAATATCAAAGTATACATCCCGTCTGTGTTCTGCGACGGTCCAAATGTATAATCATTTAAATACATACACAAAAATCCATGAACTTGATCGAATTTGCTATTTTAGCAAAATAATTTATTTTGCAATCCAAAAACAAAAGCATTTCAGATTGTGTCTGTGGAATTCAGAATTAAATGTTTGTAAATACAATTTACATGTTTGTAAATACAATTCTCATCTTTTTTATTACAATTTGTGGTACTTTGAATTCAATCAAATACATTATAGACACAAGTTGAAATGTATGTTTGTGGAAAGCAAAATAAATTTGCAAATTCGATCAAACTAATTGATTTTTGGGCATGTATTTGTGAATATAACATCGAAATCAACTCCATAAAATGATACTTACTTTAAATGAGATGTTTGAAGTCTTTTCTGCTCCGTCGGGTTGAGAAACACGTGAAAAAGCCAGGCCAGGCTTCGAAGGGCACAGGAAAAAATGTGAAGATTTTCACCGACTTTGAGCTCAGCCTGAAACGTGAAATTCAAATATTAGGCCACTGTAACACATGTGAATTTAAATTTAAGATAAAGAGTCTACTTTAAAATATTTATTTGGTGTAATTTAACGTTATTGCAAAAAATCCCAAACTAAATCAGGTGATTATAAACGTCAAAGTTAGTTTAAAATATTAAGTGACGATTTCAAACTTGTTCTTAAATTACCACGATTACCCCAGGTTCTATTTTGAACA